AAACACATCTGAATGTGTCCAGTATTCTGGACACATTTAGAAATATCCTTGATCAGTACAAAGTTTGTTGGCATAATTGTACAACCCAAGAAGTGATAATTTTTACCACAAAAAGGAAAAATTACTCACAGATCTTTCAGCCTTTTCATCTTCAGTTAAATTTTCCTCCGTTTTCTTTGGAGCATTGATAATCTTGAAATAAATAAACAAAGTTTAAAGAATGCAGTTAAATGTTCTCAACTACCATAAATTTGCATTGTATAAATACCTCAGTTACACTATTACTATTCAGAAACTGAGTGTTAGTGTCAGCTTTCACTCAGTCTTGTGAGCTTCACACCAATACGCATAATTGTTTTGGACATTTTTATTTTCATTTTAGTTTTCTATATTTTGGAGGCGGTTTTAATAAAACAACTATTTCACTTGTGCTTGTTGGATATGAAATGACTATAGCCAGTTCAGTGCTACTTACCTCGTTGGCTGTCTATCATCTCACATCCAACGCTCCCTCCAAGAATAATTGTTAATTAGCCATGTTATTTTGATATCTATGATATTCTACAGGTAAGCATATAGACTAGTATGTATGTAGATGTCCTGCACAACAAAACTTAATCTCAAACTCACTGTTCTGGTAAATCCTGCATGACTCAGTGTGTCCACATTCTTAGGAGCTTTCTGAAAATCAAATCAGCATGTCAACTGTTAGATAAACTACATGTGCTTTATTAAAATTAGAATATTTATTTGTTACTGACACCTATTCTTGATATAAAGGAGTGAAGTTTCAAAGCTTACATGCACTTAATAGGAAACAAGTCCAGACATTACTACATTTGTACTCTTTGTTAAAATTTGAATAACAAAATTAAAGCCTATGGGACATTACCTGTACATGTAACAGAATGTAAATTGTGAATTCATAAGGAAATGATCCCCATAAAATCAGGTTTTAAACAATTATTGGATGAGGTTTTTGTGATATCCAGAATAATCAAGGTCGAGGTAGGGGTTATCAGCTAAAGCCAAAGGCTGAGGCTGATAGCACTTACTGAGACCTTGATTATTCTGCACATCACAAAAACTGAATGTAATAATATTGTTTTATTATACATTGAATGAAAAAAAAAAAA